GTGGAAAGTAGTCTTGACTGAGGTCATCAAGTTAAAATGAAATCATTATGGTGGGTCCTGACCCAATCATCCTGGTTGAAAGGGAAAATTTGGACAGATATAGGTAGAACACCATGTGAACGTGAAGCCAGCCATCTACAAACCAAGGAGAGAGACCCGGAACAGATCGTTCCCTTGTGACCCTCATAAGGAACTATCCTGCTGGGCGTGGTGGCACATGCTTGTAATCCTAGTGGCTGGGGAGGATCTCGAGTTCAAAGCCAGCCTCAACAACTTATCGAGGCCTTAAACATCTCAGTGAGACCCTGTCTCTAAATAAAATATAAAAAAGTCAGTGGTTAAACACCCCTGGGTTCAATCCCCAGTAACAAACCAAAAAATATATACACATATCTAGGAACCACCCTGGCTAACACCTTGATTTTGGAATTCAAGTATCCAAAACTGTGAGATAATACGCTATTTTTTTTAACCACTCAGTTTGTGATGTTTTGTTACAGCAACTCTAGCAAACTAATACACCTGCTTTCTCTCAAAACATCAGCTGATTTACCAGTTGGATCTGCCTGGCAGCTGGCCCCTTTGGAGAGGACACTTGCTCTCTGGTTCCATGGCCCCCTCACCGAGTCTGTCACTCACTCTCACACCACCTGCCTCACTCCTGCATTGCGGAGGGCAATGGCAGATCTTGGCAATAATTAGCTGGATCCTTGTGTGATACCCATGCCTGTGCGTCCTTTCCCTAGGAGCAGCCTTCATTTCATGCCCAGAGAGTCCCCAACTGCAACCCCAGAGGGTTGGTGTAGATGGATGGTGGTGACACATGAGTACCCCAGCATCTCTGTGTCCTCCCCCAAAGCCCAGGCACCAGGCCCTTCTCTTCTCCAGGACCCAGGCGTTCAAGCCCCACCCCACTTTCAATGAGCCATTGTCCCAGACTGGGAAAGGCACGGGCAGAGTCTGACATCATGAAGCCTGAGGTGGGGGTGGGACTCCCCCTCCCCCAGCCTTCCCTGACTCCTCGTTCTGCTCTGGGTCTGAGGGATTTCCCCGCCCCTCACCCCCACCCCCACCAGGGTTCTCCCATGGGAGAGAGGACCCTCCCTGCACCTCCCCAGAGCTCTGGCCACCACAGTGCAGCTGACCTACTTGTATCAAACCTCCGCTGCTCTTAATCAGACCATCTCCTTCCTGTGCGCCTGCCCGCCTTGTAAAGGTCACCACCCAGGGCAGGGCCCCGGGGCCTCAGGACCCCTGTGGAACCTGCACACAGAGGGACTTCATGCCCAGTCCTCCTCGCACCACACACTGTTCTGAGGACACAGGGTGCAGAAGGCTGCTGAGATCCTGCCCTGGGAGGTGGAGGCTGGCCCAGTAATCAGAGGACGAGCCACAGCTCCAGCCCCAGGTGCCTGAGTCCCATGGGAGGAGAGGACGGCATTTAAACGGAGGGGCAGGTAAGGAAGGCCTCGGAGAAGTGGTGTCCACGCCACGCTCCGTGCTGAGGATGAGTGGGCTGTGGCCAGGGCGGCGTGGGCAGTGGGGTGAGACGGTGACCGCTTTCCAGGAAGGAGGAGCGACACTTGCGATGGCCCTGAGTCCAAAGGGGTCACGGGGTATTGGAGGAATGTGTTCGGTCACCCACTGGCCGTTCATCAATAAGAAGGGACATACTCAGAATAATGTAAAGAGGGCGTGTCCCCATGCCAAGAGGCAGGTCACACCTCAGGTCATTTGCACAGCAAGAGCCAAGAAAAGAATAGAGCCGGA